GAGACAGGGTTTCTCTGTGTAACAGTCCTGGCTGTCCTGGCACTCACTCTGTAGACCAGGCTGGCCTCAAACTCACTGAGATCTGCCTGCCTCTGCCTCACAAGGGCTGGGACTAAAGGTGTGCACCACCACTGCCCAGCAAAAGTACCAGTTTTTAACTAAAATTCTATCATAAATTATCTAGAGATAATTATCTAGAGAGAGAGATGGCTCAGCTGTTAAGAGCACTATATGCTCTTCCAGAGGACCAGGGTTCAATTCTCAGCATCCACATGGCCGCTCGCAACAGCCTGTAACTCCAGTTCCACTTTCACACCAATGCACATAAAATGAATTTAAATGAATTTGTTTTGTTTTGTTGTTTTTCAAGACCGGGTTTCTCTGTGGCTTTGGAGGCTGTCCTGGAACTAGCTCTTGTAGACCAGGCTGGTCTCCAACTCACAGAGATCCGCCTGCCTCTGCCTCCCAAGTGCTGGGATTAAAGGCTTTCGCCACCAACGCCTGGCTTATTTTTTTAATTATCTAAAGAATCTTGATTTTAAAATAGATTAATATTCTTTTTCCTTAGATGCCAACAAAATGTTACACATCCTAATTAAACTTTCCTTCAGAACTTATATCCTAGGTAGTATAAGATCTTAACATTAAAGTAGTTATAATTTAGTAGATAAATTATATCTACTAAAACATCTACTATGTTTTCTTTTATCTTGGCATATAAAAGCATGTTCCCTTGAAATAGACTCTGGTTTTACATGAATTAAGCTCTATCTGTAAATCAGGTGGTGGTGGCACATGCCTTTAATCTGAGCACTCGGGAGGCAGAGGCAGGTGGATCTCTGTGAATTCGAGACCAGCCCGGTCTACAAGAGCTAGTTCCAGGACAGCCTCCAAAGCCACAGAGAAACCCTGTCTCGAAAAACCAAAAAGAAAACAAAAACAAAAACAAAAACAAAAAGAAACCAAAAACAATAGCAAAAAAGATCTACCTGTAAATAATACTAGTCAATGAAGGAGTATAAAATTAATAAAAATATATCATATTATAGCATTTACAGAAAGTAAACTCGTGCCCAAGTAACAAAAGATAAAATGTAAAAATATAACAAATACTTCATGAACATTAGATAATTTTAAAACATAGCAAGATATGAGGAGAAATAAAAGGTGATAAATTTGAACTCCAAATTTGAAATTTACAATCCAAATTACACTAAAATCCCTTAGACAGAGGTCCGGGGAGATTGCTCAGTGGACAAGTGTTTCTTGTGCATGCAGAGGGCCTGAGTGTAGTTCCCAGCACCCATGTGAGAAGCCAGCTGGGTACCTCTTTGCCTTTTGACTTTCTGTGATGGTCTCCATTTGCTTCCTCAAAAGGAAGCTTTGATGAGGGGTAAGCGACCCTTGTCTCTGAGTATAAGGATAAGTACTTAGAATGTAATTGGAAACTATACTGCTTTGAGGCAGTGGTGGGGTCCATGGCCTCCCCGAACATAGGAAGTGGGCTAGATTTACAGTACTGTCATGAATTCCTTCCTATGGAGTGGGCCTTAAACCCAGCTAGGTTTCTGTTGGTTACCCCAAAGATATAAGTGCCACTATTGCCTTTTGGGGGGATATCTTGCCATTTTTGTCATTGTTGTAGTCCATACTCATTGTAGCTTCTTAGTAGTGTGGGAACACAGTCAAAAGAATGACCCATGGTGAATGATGCCTTGGGGGATCTGTGGGAGAGGCTCCAGGATAAAAGGCAGAGGGCCTTTTACCTCGGGAGCATTTTGTTCCCTGGATTATTCTCGGATGTGATTTCATGCCTTCTGCACAAACATTTGCATTTAATTTATAAGATATGTTTATTCCTGTTCAGTGTCTGAACATAGCTATAGAACCCAATCTGGTCAGTGTGCCCTGAATCTGGAGATGGCCCTCTGCCTTACTTTCATGCTTTCCCAGATCTAATCTATAATACGAGTCAGGCAACTGTGTTTAAACTGGTCTGTCCTGAGAGAATTCTGGGAAAGGGCTTCTCTGTCGATATTTAGTATGTGTTTACTGATGTTTATTTACATGTTTTTCTGAACTCAGGCACTCTTCCTTGGATCCTTGCGGTCTTTGTTACACTCCTGTATGAAAGCACACTGAAACTGAAGTCAGTTTGTCTCCAGCATTGGACTGGAGTCCTCCCTATTCTTTCAGGTCCTGCATAGGATGGCTATAAAGTTGACAGGTAGGACTATTGATAACTCTTCCCCCTTGGCAGTTTGCATAGCTACTTTTAGTATGTAGGGTGCCTAGCCCCAACTGATAGTGGTCCCTGCAGGTGTAATGCAGGAAAGCAAACCCACTCTGGTGAAGAGGATCTGGATCAGGGAGTGAAGGTGGTTTATTCCCAATGTATTTAAGCCCAGTATAATTTGGAAAAGAAAAAAAAAAAGTTTCCAGATGTAATACAACCTCCAGTGCACAAGAAAGTAGAATTACAATGAAACTCAACTCAGGGTACATGTCATTTCTTCCAAGAAGATGGGTTTCAGAGATGGGCTGCCAGTACTAGCTTAAGGGCCGAAGGGTCTGGCCTGGTCTGGGTCTCACAGATAGTGCAGAGGTCATTTGGGCTATTTACCACCACTAGTCCTGGCAGTGGGAGTTTGGGGGAGCCTCTGGCTATCAGGGTCATTTAGATTATTAGCTACCTCCAGTCCTGGTTGTAGGAGCTTGATAAGGCCTGACCCAACAGATAACACAAATCACCAGGCTGTTGATCTCCCCCAATTCTCAGCTTTCTGGATGGAAGAACAGGTTTTTCTTGTTTCCCAATGGAAAGACAATCCTGTGTGCTTAACATTTCTATTTTCTCTGGATATCTGTGGGCATCTGTGCTCCCAGTGGACATTCCTATAAGCAACCCCTAAACTAAGGCTCAAGGAAACATCTCAGAAGAAGAGGAAGAAAGATTGAAAGAATCCAAAGATGGCAACATCTTCTGTGACAGAGTGAGTGTCTTCTCTGTATGCCAAGGAAGCTGCCCCCACCTATGCAATCTCAACAGTATGGCCACCTAAATAAGGCCTGAACCAGGACAGCATCAGGTGGCATGCCCAATGAAGAGGTGGGAAATGAGACTAATTTACCTCCTCACCCTGTTCAGCCAGTACCTGATGTTTTAAGACTTCAAGAATTTTCTTCATCTAATAGGCTAAAGGATAATCTCGATTCTCGGTTTTGTTTGACTTTTCCATTTCAAAGTTCCACCTCTAGATGAAGGACTACAGGCTATTATGGGAGTGGAGCCCAGGAGAGAGAGAGAGAGAGAGAGAGAGAGAGAGAGAGAGAGAGAGAGAGAGTCAGAGTCAGTCTACTCCCAGCATAAGCCCGCTGGTACACTACCCAATCCTACCCAGTCAGTCATCAACACATGTGTATATAACACTCATATGGATACACTTTTACATATGGACATACGTAAGGATGATAATTAAAGAATAAGAGGGCGTGAACTTGAGAAGACATGGCAGAGGACACAGTGGGAGTTGGAGGGAAAGAAACGAGGAAGAAATAATGAACTCATACATGAAATTCTGCAAAAACAAAATAATAAATAAAAGTTGTACGAGGCAGGTGTGGTCATGTGACCCCACACTGTAAGGTGTGTAGATGAGAGAATTTCTAGGGCTTGCTGTCTAGATAGCCTAGGGTAGAGGGAGTTAGAGTTGGGAACCCTACAGGAAGGAAAAAGAGCAGAAAGCGCTAGAACAGAACAAGACATTCTCCTCCCTCTCCCCACAACCACGCACACATGCACATACCACACAGTGCCTCTCTGCATCATGGGCCGGAAGTGTAAGACCCCCAGAAAGCTCAGGCTTCCAGGATGTTAGCCTTAGGAACGAGGCCACCCCAATCACAGAATGGAGACGAAAGCTTGATGCAAACTGCATGAGGCTTTATTGTTGTTTAACGAGCTAACCCCATGTTAGCTCGGGTCTTTGATCCACCCGCCATGTTGGATGGCTAGCAAAGACAGTTTGAAGCCGCTGCGTACAGATCTTATAGGGCAGCATAAGGGGAGTGTTTAGGGGTATGCACAGGTTCAGGATTGGTATGCCTCCAGGCTTGGAGGGTTTGCCCTGTGTTGATTGGTCAACTGGTTGTTATGGCCCATAGGCCCTCCCAAGGTGGTTGCTATGCTCGGCGTCATTGCTGTGTGCTTGTCTGTAAAGTACACCCAGAGCCATAAAGCATAGCGCCACCAGCTAGCTTCTGATTGGTTCCTTGTCACGAGGCAGGCATCTGACTTTCTAGTGTCTAGTGAAGGAACCTGCTTCCCTTTTGGCAGCCATAACGGTCGAACATGTGCTTCTATGACCTTGCCCTAGACACTAGAAAGTCAGATTCCTGTCTTGGGACAAGGAACCAATCAGAAGTTAGCTGTTGGCGCTATGCTTTACGACCCTGGGTGTGCTTTACAGACTAGTGCACAGCAATGACGTAACAGCATAGCAACCACCCTGGGAGGGCCTATGGGCCATAACAACTCCAAGCCTGGAGGCACACCAATCGTGAGCCTGTGCGTACCCCTAGATACTCCCCTTACTCTGCACTATAAAGATCTATGCACAGCAGCTTCAAGCCATCTTTTCTAGCTGTCCGCCATGGCTGGTGGGTGAAAGACCCGAGCTAACATGGGGTTAGCTCGTTAAATTACAATAAAGCCTCATGCAGTTTGCATCAAGCTTTCACCTCCATTCTGTGTTTGGGGTGGCCGCCGTCCTGGGCTAAGATTCTGGAAGCCTCAGCTTTCTGAGGGTCTTACACTAGGACCAAGTCAGACAAGCAAGTGACTGCCGAAAGGGGAGCTGGTCCCTTCAAAAGAAAGTTCTGGAAAGAAATAGAGAAAGTATCACAAACACGTAATTCATTGAGAAAGGAAACTAACTGGGAAGTGCTCAGTCTTACCATACCTGAAGACTAAAAGGTAAAACAACACTGAGAAATGAGACACTTTTTTTAGCCTGTCAAATGAGCAAAACCTTCAATGTCACTCACTGGTGGGAGGAGGGTTAAGAAATAACAGCTGTGGGGCTGAAGAGATTGCTTGACGGTTAAGAGCACTGACTGTTCTTCCGGAGGACCTGGGTTCAATTCCCAGCACCACAACTGTCTGAAACTCTAGTTCCAGGGGATCTGATACCTACATACTAATGTATATAAAATAAAGTTAGAATAAATTATTATAAAAGAAAGAAAAAAGAAAAAGAGAAGGAAAGGAAGAAAGGAAGAGAGAGAGAGAAAAAGAAAGATATGGGGAAAAAACTTGTTACAACTCAAAGGTCTCTCATGATATGAAGGCCCAGACCCTCACCCAGCACCCTGCTTTGGCAGTCATGACAGGCTGCAGAAAAGCCCCTGGAAGATGTAGGACCCTGACTCAGTTGGATGTGCTGAATGCACCACCCACCCCTCCCCGCCAACATACACACACCTTGCCCGACCTAGCCCTAATTACTGGGAATAAACCTCCAGATACCCTCCTTGTGGTAAGGAACGGATCAGAAGTTAGCTGGCAGGCTTTGGATGTGCTTTCCTGATAATAGTGGAAAGCATTAATTAGGTAGCTACGGCCCAGGCCTTCGGACAGCCTCCAGGCACAGCAACCTTTCTGCTGATCAACCATCTCAGGACAGGTTCCCCCAGCCCTGAGCTGCACCAATCCTGAGACTGCTACTATGCAACTAGCAGACCCCCAGACACCCCCTTGCTCTACCCCCAATATATGCCCTGCCCCATTGCTGCTCGGGGTCCCTCCTACTCCACCCAAAAAGACTCTTTGCTTTTGCATCTGATCTGGTCTCTTGGTGGTTTGGGGGGTTCAAAGTCTGGACACAACAGATATACAGCATGAGCGAGGTAGGAACAAAGAGACTGCAAATCTGTGTGTCTACAAACAAATTAGTTAATTTTTTGTTTGTTTGTTTTGTTTTTTGAGACAGGGTTTCTCTGTGGCTTTGGAGGCTGTCCTGGAACTAACTCACTTTGTAGACCCGGCTGGTCTCAATCGGCCTGCCTCTGCCTCCCGAGTACTGGGATTAAAGTTGTGCGCCACCACCGCCCGGTCTACAGCTAATATGAAATAGTGAAATATATAATGTCTTCTCTCTGAGGCTGGGGAAAGACAAGGATGCCTGCCACCTTCACCCTACACATCACTTTCTGTCAAGGCCACGTGGTGTGATGGGGGTGCGTGTGGTTTGCTGGTGAAATGATCATGGAGGTCTATGTCACAACGTGGAATGCTGCGTGCTTGTTATTTGCGTGTGTAGACTCTCACTGCTGGGAAGGGATCCTCTGCTGACCTTGACAGACACATTTGAGTTGGCCAACGAGAGGGGCTTCCAGCTGGGGAACAAGGACAGCACATGGGCCGGGGAGTAGCACAGTGGACCACGGCACCGGAGATTTCGCCAGCACTCCTCGTGCTGGGGGTGAGGCTGCCTTCAGAACTTTCGGCTTGACCTGAGAGCGTGCTCTTGGGCTCTGACAAGTTCCATCACTTCATCCGTAAGATGAAGCAGCTGATGGCCCCCGTGTAACCCTAGGTTCAAAGATGCCACCTCTGTGGCCCACTTACTCACCATAAAACATTAACAAGACTGAGCCCAGAATCGTAATAGCAGCTTGTAAGGTCTCCACATAGACCACCGCTGTCATTCCACCTGAAGAGGAAGGGGACTTGAAAGGAAAGCCGCTTGTACTTCTGCTTCCTGCAACCTCTCTGTAAGCCCT